AATTAAAAATTTAGTGTCATAAAGTGTGATTGGAAAACGGCTCTGTCCATTTGTTACTGTCCTGTGGCACATTTGTGCTGCAGTATGCAGAAGTGTGTAGTTTCAACAGAGATAACAGCCTGCAAAACCGAAGTGTTTACCATCTAGTTCTATAGGGAAATGGTTGCACAACCCTGGTCTGCACTAAAAAGGAGTCTTTATTTTGTGATAAAAAGGCAGGCTGGTCGTGGTGGCGGGAGGCAGAGGCAGGCGCATCTCTGTGAGTTCAAGACCAGCCTGGTCTACATAGTGAGTTCCAGGACAGCTGGGGCTACAGGGAGACCCTGTCTCAAAAAGACCAAAAAAAAAAAGAAAAAGAAGAGGCAGGCTGGGCCTGGTGGCGCACTCCTATAACCCTAGCCTTGGAAGGATCAGGAGTTCAGTGCTGCCTCAGCTACATGTTGGTCACGGGTGGTCAGGGAGGTTGAGATAGAACAGAAAGGTTAAGTCACTTCAGGCCTCCCATGCTGGACAGCCTTTGCTGCACTCTGCCTTTAGCAATAAGGATCTGGGCATGTAGTCTGCTGCTGGTTTATGAACCACCCATTCCATCCTCTTTCCTCCCATCTTCATTTCATTCAGAGTTGTGTGGAACTGCCTCTGATTTAGGCAAGGGTCAGAAGACTTCGACGTGGCAAAGGCACTTGTCACCAAGCCTGATGACCTGAGTTTGATAGCTAGAACCCACATGGTAGGAGAAGAGAACTGATTCCCCAAGTTGTCATCTGACCGCCACACTCCTACAGTGGCAAGCACAGCCCCCCCCCCATAAAAAAGCCCATTGTGGGCCCCTCTGCCTCTAACCCCAGGGTTCTTCACCACTGAACCAGCATTTTTTGGGTACTCACACAGGAAATGCTCTGGTCTGTTTCACTTTCGGGGGGAGGGTGCAGTGAGGGAGAATGTCTCATTTTGTAGCCCAGGCTGGCCTGGAATTTAGGGCAATCCTGCTTCAGCTTTGGGATTAAAGGCATCTCTCATCACACCCAGCTGTTTTTTCCTGCGCCACATTCAGCAACTGCAGCTGGAGTTCCATGAGATCCCATCACTGCCTCATTTTGGATCAGGCTTTCAAATCCTACCCACCTTCCAACCTCAGCGCTGAAGCACCCTCTTTTGGAGTTTACCCCCATCTAGGTCAAGGAGTCCAAACTCTAGATGGGTGACTGGTGCTAGCTGCACTGATGCTAACCCAAACTTTTTATTTATCCTGTTGACAGACTTAGATTAGGTACTTTCCAGAGGCCTTCTACTTCCTGCACTGAGAAGGTGCCTCTCCCTTCTTTGCCTGTGACAAATAAACCCCTGTACTGGAACTCCCCCACTTAGCTGCCTCTCAGCACCAGAAAGGGTGGGTTTGAAGAGTGGGTGGGTGCTGCACAGGAGGGTGTGAACTCTGCCTCTCCTACACATACCTCCCCAGGCTACAGTCCACTTTAGCAAGGTGCTCCCCAGTTGCAGGAGAGGAGGGATCCCTGGTGAAGGGGGATCTGCAGAAACAAAAGTCTCTGCGGATCTTTGGGGTTTGGTGTGGTAGCACATGCCTGTAATTCAGCACTTCAAGGATCCTTTCAGGCCAGCCTGGTATACATATTCTAGGCAAGCCAGAGCTACATATGGAGACCCTGTAAGAGTGAAGATGTCAAGAAATGAAAGAATGGTTGGAGAGAATCAGGAGGACAGCGGCACCTTGTGTTTTATTCTCCATCCCACCATCCATGACTCCTTGATGTCTACCTGGATCCTCAGCTCTCATCCAGGTTTCTTGAAGGGGTGGCTTAAGGTGGGAGACATGCATGCACTGGGCCAGCAACCTGCATCTTGTGCTCTCCCCTTCTGCTTAAAAGAAAGCAGTGTCTTGGGGCTGGAGAGACGGCTTAGCGGTTAAGAACACTGGTTATTCTTGCAGAAGACCAGGGTTTGAATCTCAGCACCTACATGGCAGCTAACAATTGTCCATAACTCCAGTCCCAGGGGATCCGACAGCCTCTTCTGACCTCCTTGGGCATTGCACGACACGGGTGCACTTACCTACATGCAGGCAATAACACATACACATAAAAATAATAATTTTTTTTTAAAGCTTAAAGAAAGCAGTAGCCGGGCGTGGTGGCACATGCCTTTAATCCCAGCACTTGGGAGGTAGAGGCACACGGATTTCTGTGAGTTCAAGGCCAGCCTGGTTTACATAGTGAGTTCCAGGACAGCTGGGGCTACAGGGAGACCCTGTCTCAAAAAAACCAAAAAAAAAAAAAAAAAAAGCGGTGTCTGGATGAGGTGCACAGAGGGAGTGTTGAAACCCCACCAGGCCCACTGCTGCAGTGCACACCTGTTTGCAAGGGCCTAGGGGGTGGGGAAGGCTAGGAGCTAAATTTAGTGGAAAGGCAGCGCTATTATTGAGTGGGTATTTACCCCAGGAAGCTGAAATGAGAGGGCAGGGGAAGAAGGGGGCTACCCACCTACTGGAGGTGTCAGAATCAAACCCGGGGCTTCCTGCATGCTAAGCACACTCCCCCGCTGAGATACACTGAAGCACAGCTGAACTTGAGACCTTACGGTTCACCTGTATACCAGAACCATGAAGCAGTCCCCCTGCAAACCCTCAGACATGACTCCTTGGCAGTGTGCTGGCCTCTGCATGCTTCATCTCACTCCCTTGTGCATGTCATTCGTTCCTGCCACCCCCGGCTCAATTCTCAAAGGTCTAGTTCCTCTAAGTCCTTCTCGAAGTTCCCCTAATGCAACAAAACCAGGGGTTCCAGCACCACAACGCTCTGCCCTTAACATTGCAACTTCCTCAGACCCTCGGAGTTTCAGAGGTCAAAGAAGAGGTGTCTTCTAGGGGCCAGGAAAAAAAGGTCAGGTTTCCCTTCCTAGGAATTTCCACACTGACCCCATACTGACCTCAATGAATCCTTAGGGACCGTGTTGACTTAGCTTTAAAATGAGGGAAACTGGGGCAGGACCCCCCTGGGCTATCACAAAGGAGGTGCTCCGGTTGGGAGAGTTCTAGAGGGGCTATGGCTGCACGCTCTACCTGTGATTGGCTCGGAAGCCCAGGCCAAACTCCAAACCTGCCCAGCAACTGGAGGCCTGAAAAGGGAGGGGAAATCAGCTGAGCTGAGGCCTCCACCCAGCGCTGCTTCCAGGAATCACTGAGGGGGAGGGCCCAGGCCTGGAACCACTGCCATCGCTCCCTTGTGCTGGGGCTCTATCTGCATGACTGTTTGTACAGGCTTGCTCAGGCCTCCCACATCTCTGACTCCTTCCAAGCTCACCTGAGGGTACCATGTTTGTTTGACACCTTCTCTTAAGAGGTATTCCTTATACCCCTTCCTGGGCTTCCTGGGGTGAATAGTTTTTCTTTTTTTCTTTCTTTTTTTTGGTGTCTTTGAGACCGGTTCTCACTGTAACCCAGGTTGATCTTGTGATTCTCCTGCCTCAGCCTCCTGAGTACTGAGATCACACCTGGCCACCAGGACTGAGTCAGTTTCATTTTCCTTCCCTTGGCCTCTCTTCTCACCCACTCCCCTCCCAAGTTGCACTTCAGATTCTTTTTTTCTCAGCCCTTTCCAGCTCTACTTAAGCCTGAATCCCAAGGCAATGGTACAGGTTTTTGCTATGGTAGAACAATCTAGGGAAGCTTGGTGCCCTCAGGATCTAGGTGTGCTCATAAAACAGTAGTCTCAGGGCGGAAAAAGTGGCTCAGCAGTTAAGAGCACTGACTGCTCTTGCAGAGGACCCGGGTTCAATTCCCAGCACCCACATGGTTGCTACAAACCATCCTTAACTCCGGTTCCAGGGGAATCTGAAGTCCTCTTCTGATCTCTGAGGCATTGCACGACACAGGTGTACTCACACACATGCAAGGCAATACACTCATACTAAATTTAAAAAAAAAAAATTTTTTTTTAAATCTTAAAAAAGCCGGGCGTGGTGGTGCATGCCTTTAATCCCAGCACTTGGGAGGCAGGCGGATCTCTGTGAGTTCAAGGCCAGCCTGGTCTACATAGTGAGTTCCAGGACAGCTGGGTCTACAGAGAGACCGTCTTTTAAAAAAGACCAAAAAAGAAAAAAAAAACTTAAAAAAAAAAACAGTAGTCCCTGAGTGAGCCTGTTCCTACAGGCCTTTCACCTATGGCCACACTCAGCTAGCCCCGGGGAGAGGCAGACTGGGTAGGGTGACCTCTTGCTGTCCTGCCCCTCTTCTAGGAAGTTGAGCTTCCATAAGCCAGAGACTCAGACCTCAGAACTGTAGGGGCCAGGGAAGGGGTGTGTATTATGGGCAGGTCTGTCTCCCTCATCCACCTCCCACAAGTTATTTACCTTGAAAGAAACCAACTGGGAGAGAAGGGGGAGGAGGGGGAGGTTGAGACATCTCTGAGGAATGTGTCTCTGGCAGGACATCCTGTACTGTCTTGGTCCCTCCCTCACCCAGCAGTCTCTGAGAGCCGGGCCAGGCTCCTCCTCTAATCATTTCTGCTGAGCAAGAGGGGGCAATGTCACAACACACCCTGCACCCTAAGGAAAGCAATAAACGTCTTGTACTTAACAGGGAAGTGGGTGACAGCAGAAAACAGGGAAGGCAGGAAGTCGGGGCAGAGCAGGAGAACCAGAAAAGCCAGCCATCGTTCAGCCCATCCCCAACTGAAAGAAGTCCTACAGGATTCCTAGAGAGGACAGAAACCCAGTCTACCCAGAAACCCCCTACAGGCCGTCTATCGGGATCCCAGCCCCATACCTCAGCTGAGAGTAGTGACCTCTAGTGGCCAGTGATCAGTCTGCAGGGTTGGGGCTGGCCAGAGCCTGCCTCTGAGCCCCCTCTGCTCCAGATCACAGGCTCTGGGCTCACTCCCTGGGCCATGCTGTCCTCCCAGCACTTAGGTGCTGGTCCCCTTCCCACCCCACGTTCTACCTTGTGGCTCGGGTGGCAGGGTCCCCATAAAGATAATGAAGAGTGCTTCTCATTTGTCAAAATCAACTTTAATTAAAAATAAATTAGTTCTGGGTGGGACCATTTGAGGAGGTGTGAAGTGGGGTGCCAGGGCTAGGGTGTCTTATGCTGACTTTTCTGCACCCTCTTCTCAATTGGTCCCTGCTCTGGAGAGGAGGGAGGTGGTCCTTGGTGGGTAAGATAGGATTGGCAGAAGCTGACTGCCACCCTTAGCTAATTAGGAAGGTAGGGATAGAGACTTGATAAGGGACAGTGGTGTGGTGGAAACAACAGGGTGGCTGAGAAGAAACGAGAGGCCTAAACATGAGAAATGAGGGTTGGGTCATAAAATTGGAACTGATGAGGAGCGTACCGTCTTAGTTCAGGTGCTCTCCTCAGCACCGAAAATCTTCAGAGAAACAGGTACTGTCCACACCCCATTCCTTCTCAGTCTACTTTTGGGGAAGTGATACATATATGAGGGCAACCACGTGGGTAGACCCAGGTACATATCTGGGGGCATCTGTGCAACAGACCATTACACCACCATACAGACCCAGTAGCAGCTCTGTCATTCATTTACCTTGCCACCCTCAGTCACCCTGGAGGACATCCCTGGTGAGACTGGACAGGTTGGACAACCAGAGGGTACAAAGTAGGCTGATCAATAGATGACCAATGATGGCATTAGAAAACCATGAAGACGGTCTCTTAGACCCATTTCAAGCAGGCTCGGGCTGGGACCGCTCCAGGACTTGAGCACAAGAGCGACAGCAGGTAGCTGTGTAGTAGGGATAGACGCAGAACCGAGCCTGTACCACCAGGGGGCAGTGTGGAGAGCTGTCTTTGCATTGGTCATCTGGGGACAGAGGCAAATGGGCACAATATAGAACCAATATCCACCCCCCTGGAGGTGTGTTAGCCCTCCCACTGGCCCTTCTTTCCTCCACCCATATTTCTGCTAAGTCCCCTCTATTGGGGGTGAGGAAGGGCAGCTCTTTACCAGGGCGCTGGTTGCAGGGTTGGCTGTTACAGGGTCTTTTCCTGGAAGGTCTCAGGTGGGAAGAACATCGGGCACTTAGAGTCTGGTTGGCACTCAGGCACTGAACTTCCCTTGTTTGCATGCCTCCCTGGCAGGAGCGAGAACACTGGGGAGACCACAGCCATCATATCAGATCTTTGAGTTGTCCAGGGCTCCTCCCCAGGCCACCATCTCCCCCTGTGAGAGAAGCCATGTTAGCCGGAGGCCCAGACTGAGCAGGGCAAGGGAGCCTGGCACTCACCGGACTCCAGAGTGTAGTAAACCATCGGTCCTGGCAGGCCTGCCCTTGACAGGGCTGCAAGGCAGGGGGCCGGGGTAGGTGGGAACAGTTGCTGGGAGATGTCACGTTGAACTCAGCTCCCAGTTTGGACACACAGATAATATCTCTATGCTGTGTGCCAGAGCCACACTCAGAGGAACACTGTGTAAGGGTGGGAAGAAGGGAGATCATCCTTCCAGGGGCCAATATGGGATTCCACCGGGACTGGGGTCCTATTCCTGTCCCTCTCCCAATCCTTAAACTCACCTCACTCCAGGGCCCTGTGTACCAGCGCCATGTCCTCTCACAGGGCCCTAAGCTACAGGCACGCATGTCAGGAGGGCGGCTCCTGGGAGGGCAGCCCTGCACACTGGCTCCTGCTCCTGCTTCTTCCTGGTCTCCCTGAAGGTTCTCCTCACTCCTAAGGCAGACCACAGAGCGTCGCTGGATCCCTGTCCCACACTCGGCTGAGCACTGTTGAGAGGTAGAGTGGCCTGTGTGAAGGGAGGCTGCTGGTGACTGGAACTGGGGAGGGGACTGTCCTGGTCCGAGGGTACCAGCTGGTTAAGAGGAAACAGCCCGGGTCCAGGACTTGAATGTAGCCCAGGCTGACCTCAAACTCAATATGTAGCTGAGGATAACCTTGAACTTCTGATCCTTCTGTCTCTACCTCTCCTTTGCTGGGATTATAGTGGTGTCCTATGACTGGTTAATGTGAAGATCAAAACCACGGCCTCACACATGCTACACAAGCATTCTATTGACTGAGCTACATCTCCGTCTGTTTTTTTAAAGAAAATTTGATTTTTTATTTGTTAGTATGATGTGTGTGAGTGCAGGTACATGTGTGCCACAGTGTACATGTAGAGGTCAGAGAACAACTTTTGGGAGTTGGTTCTCTTGATGGGATCGGGGGAATCAAAGATCACCAGGCTTGCAAAGATTTTACTTTATGACCCATTCTGCCAGTCCTTTTTTTTTTTTAGATTTATTTTTAGGGGCTGGAGATGGCCCAGTGGTTAAGAGCACTGACAGCTCTTGCCAAGGACACGTGTTCAGTTCCCAGTACCCACATGGTAGGTAACCATCATCCACAACTGCAGTTCCAAGGATCTGACCTCTTTTGGCCTTTGCAGGCATTGCATGCATGGGTGCACATGCATGCACATGCAGGCAAAACACTAATACACAAAAATATAAAAGTAAATAATTTTTTTAATTCAATTAAGATTTTTTTAAATTTGGTGCTGAAGAGAGGGCTCATTAGTTGACCTGAGTCATCTGATGGCTCCAGGTGACCTGAGTTCAGTTCCCAGCACCCAGGTTGGGTGGCTCACTTGTAACTCCAGCTCCAGTGGAATCTGGCACCTCTGGCCTTCCAGAGATACATTTCTCACAGACACAAGAATACAACATAACACATAATAAAAGAAAATGAAATCCTTTTTTTTTTTTTTTTTTTGTCTTTTTGAGACAGGGTCTCCCTGTAGTCCCAGATGACCTGAACTCACTTACATAGTTGAACTCACAGTGATCCACCTGCCTCTGCCTCCAGAGTGCTGGGACTAAAGGCGTGTGCCACCACACCCAGCAAGAAAATGAAATCTTTTTTAAAAAGACTTGTTTTTGCCAGGCGTGGTGGCGCACGCCTTTAATCCCAGCACTTGGAAGGCAGAGGCAGGCGGATCTTTGTGAGTTCAAGGCCAGCCTGGTCTACATAGTTCCAGGAAAGCTGGGGCTACAAGGAGACCCTCTTTCAGGAAAAAAAAAAAAAAGACTTTTTTTTATTTCACATGTCCCTGTATGTGTATGAGTGCATGTGTCCACCACGTGTCTACTGAGGCCAGAAAAGGGTGTGAGATCTGCTGGAACTGGGGTTACAAGTGGTTGTGACTTGCCATATGGGTGCTGGGAACTGAAGCCTGGGCCCTCAGTTCTTTTTTTTTCTTTTTGTGGTTTTTTTGAGGTAAGAGTCTCCCTGTAACCCCAGCTGGTCTGGAACGTGCTACATAGACCAGGCTGGCCTTGAACTCACAGAGATCTGCCAGCTTCTGCCTCCTGAATGCTGGGATTAAAGGCATATGACACCATTCCGGGCTTGTTTGTTTTTTTTTAAGACAGAGTCTGATACTATAGTATCTATAAATCAGGCTGGCCTGGAACTCACTAGGTAAGCCCAGGCTGTCTTTGAACTTGAGGCAATCCTCCTGCCTCAGCCTTCCAAATGGAAAATTACAGGTACAAGTTTTTCCTGCTTATTTCTGAGTTCCAAGGGTCAAGCACATAATAGACACCTGCTCCACAACGTTTACAGAGCTGTGCTAGAAAGGCTATGACAGGATTGCCTAGGTGTGGTCACCAGAGATGCTGGACTTGCCTAAGGGAGTGTGGGGCCCACCTTGGAACTCCAGTCGCTGTGGAACCAGGCCGTGGTACAAGGTCCCATATCACAGGCCTCTCTGCTTGGAGGTGGTGGGGGTCCGGAAGCACACTCCTGCTTGCTCACTTCATCACCATTGTTTCCAACACAGCGAACTTGCCGGCTCCTCTGGCCACGACCGCAGCGCACTGAGCACTGAGGGATGAGGGGAACCGAGACTGGCCGTCACCCATCTTCCAGCCCTCCAGAACCAGGATCTGCATTGGATGTGGCTCAGCAGCCACAGGGTTTTACAGATTAAGGAAACTGAGCATGGGGCTCTGGGCCACCAATCCCAGTTCCATCTGACTTAAATTGAGGTTCCATATGGGTCTTGTTTGTCAAGTTTCTGCTGATAAAGAAAATAGTAGAAACATACTGCTCTAGCTTTGTTGCCCACTTTTTAGGGATCTGCCTCACCTGTGCCCACTCACCTGGCTCCAGGGAGAGCTAACCTCCCAATGGCCACAGAGGCGCAGCTGACAAGTCTGGGTGACATTGGGCCGAGGGAGATGTCCACAGCGCTCTGGAGGCACCGAGGAGCCACCGGCCCCAAACTCCTGTCGGCAGTGCAGCTGGCGGTGCTGGGTGCCGGGGCCGCAGGAGCGGCTGCAGGATGTCCACTCACCAGCCTCCCAGCTATAGTTGTGTTCAGGGAAGAAGGAGACACGAATGATGGGGCTGCCAGACTGGGCCCTCAGAGGAGAGGGGCCAGATTTTGCATATGCAGTCTGTTCTTTGCTGGGTTTCCTTGCGATCTACAGGGTGTCAACCTTTCCAAGCTAATGTCACCCTGTAGCCAGGAGCTGTGAAGCTGCTGCAGAGCCCAGGTAAGAGCCTGAGTGCAGGGAGCTAGTCCAGGATCATGGTGTTTTAAGTACTGTAAAGCCCCACCCCTCCTGGGCATACTCACTATGGAGGACATGGGGGACCATGGCAGGGTTCAGGGGAGGCTGGGGGCCTGGCACCCATGGCACAGCTGTGTTCATCCAACTCCTCTCCTGACTCAAGGGACATGCAGAGGAAAATGGGACGCCAAACACCTAAAGAGGATTAGAGAGCAGCCAGAAGATAGGATGTTGGACTCAGTTCCAATAAGGTTCCAGACACAGGGTCAAATGAAGACCCAAGATCCCAGATACAGAACCAGTGTTGGGGCTGGAGAGGGCTCTTGCAGAAGACCCAGGTTCGATTCCCAGCACCCACATGGCAGCTACAAACCATCCTTAACTCCAGTTCCAGGGGACTCCAAAGCCCTCTTCTGACCTCCACGGCACCGCACGACACGGGTGCACTCACATACATGCAGGCAATACACTCGTACACAAAAAATAAAAATAATAAAAAAGTATTTTTGAAAAAATGCAGTGTGAAGTTGAGGATCAGGGCTAAAGGTACCAGGAAGACAAGTGTCTCACCTTTGCCACAGGATGCTGAACACTCGGAGTGCCCGACTTGTTTCCAGTATCCCACTCCAGACCCCAAGGGTGTCCTGCGATGACTCAGGGCAGGCACCTGGGGGATTCGCACCTGACGCTGGAGGATGCCTGGAGTCCGAATTGGGCGGGGGACTGAAGCGGGTAGGGGCTCTCCCCTCAGCATCTCTGTAAGCAAGTGCAGGAGCTAGATCAGAAGCCTCCATTCTGAGAAACCCCCCTCAAAGCCTCACCCTCCTCCTCCAGATCTAGGAATCCCAGCCTTACCAGGCTGAAGTTGAGGGGCAGGAGGCTCTGTGGCAGGGCTCTCAAGGACTGGAGAAGGGGAAGAGATGACATACTGATAAAAAACACCTGGGTTGTCCTCTTGAAAGATCATCTGGGAAGAAAGGTGACAAAAGGTACATACACTAGCCTCCTCTCCCATTTGATCCCCGCTGCTCTGTCCTGAGGCCCTGAGGGGAGGCCTCCCTCTCCAGCAGTTCAGTCCCTCTGGGCCTCGAAGCTCACATAGACATCCACAGGCTGGGTGGTAGGGCCTTCGGCTGACAGACTCTCCCCCTTGCCCTCCTCCCGAGGGGGACGGTTATACTGGAAGATGGTCCCGCTGGCCATATAGGACCCTGGGGGATCCACAGCCCAGTTTCCGTTGATAATGGAGCGGCCACCAGGGCCTCGAAGTGCTGAAAGAGAGGTCCAAAAATCCAAGCTTAATGGTGGTAGTCCTGTCTTTCTTCCACCACTTTCTAAGAGTTTGGACATCCTACCTATCCAGAACCTAAGGATGCTAGCCATCTCACCTTAACCCTCTCCACCAGGGGAGGAGGAACGTCAATAACCTTCTCCTGTCCTGGAGGGGGTGTGAAAGGCGGATCCAAGAGACCTGGATGGAATGGGACTTAGGACTCAGGTCCAGGTACTCACCAAGGTAATTGGAGCTGGGCTGGAGCTGGGCAATCTGGAGCTGAGAGGCTCCTGCTGGTATCCACAGAATCTTCTGATAGCCCAGGGGACCCCCTCGGTCAGTAAGGTTCCCCGAAATGAGACGACAGGTAGAACCATCACCCCCACAGACTCCACAGCCATCCGGTCGCCTGCCAGAGCCAAGGATCCCATCACAGCCAGGGCTCTGGAGAGAATGAGGTAAGGCAGGGGCCACCAAAAGCCAGGTACACCTCACAGCCCACCCTGCTCTGCTCAAGACCCGACGCTCACCACCTGTCTTGTTCTTGGATGCTACAAGTGAGTGTGTCCCTCTGTCATCCCCTCTTATCCCTAGCCTGGCTTGAGGAGCCTAGGTATGTCTGATGGGATCCTGCCTACAGGTCACCCCCCTCGGCTCTGGCAGGTAAGAACTTTCTCTCTGGTCATCCTAGTCTGTTTGGTGTTTCAATGTTGTAATACAGAATTATAGGGCTGCGTGTGTGTGCATGTACATACACAAACATCTTTCCTCCCTTACCAGACAGCGTCCAGCCACACAAATGTCCAGGAATCCAGGCTGACACAGAGTCCCATCCTGGACCTTTTCGGTATGACGAACATAGAAGCGGAAGCCACGGGGTCGGCAGTTCAGTTCACAGCGTTGGGAGCCCTGAACTAAGATAAGGTAGAAGGTAATTGACTGGAGTCCCTGAAGGAGGAAACACCCCAGAGTCCTGACAGCAGCTCTGTGACTGACTAACCGACCTTAGGACATCCCAAGGTTGCCTATGTGGCTGTGGAGAAAGGGAACTGGACAGTTTCCCATGCTGAAAGGTTGGTTAGGCCAGTAGAGGTCACTGAACCAATAAAGATTTTTAAATTTTGTTTAAGATATACTATGTTGCCCAAGCTGGTCTCAAACAAGAACTCAACTGATCCTCTCACTTCATCCTCCTAAATAAATAGGACTACAGGCTATACCTGACCATTTTGAGTTTTTTAATTGTTTGTTTGAGGGGTTTGTTCTGTAGGTTTTTTTTTTGTTGTTGTTGTTGTTGCTTTGGGACAGGGTCTCCCTGTAGCCCCAGCTGGCTTGGAACTCACTATGTAGACCAGGCTGGCCTTGAACTCACAGAGATCCACCTACCTCTGCCTCCCAAGCGCTGTGACTAAAGGCATATGCTACCATGCCCAGCTTTAAAAAAAAAAAAAAAAATTGGTGTGTGTAAATGATGTGTGAGTGTGAGCCTGAGCATGCTACCACACTTGTATGAAGGTCGGAGAACAACTTACAGGACAGGTTCTGGGGATCAAACCCAGGTTGTCAGATTTGTGGCAAGTGATTTTACCCACTGAGCCATCCCTCAAGAGGGTTTTTTGACCCCGACAATTATGTGAGTCCATAGTTGATGAAGGTTTGTCTTGGTGTCAGGTTGACATGGGCCAAAACGCAAGTGGATAGTAACTTAGGAGCTAATAGGATACCACAAAGATCAAGGCATCCTGCTAGGACCACTGGACAAGAGCTTTTCACATCCACCCCACCTACAAGATGGACATCTTCCCAGGAGAAGCCAGCCACAAGGCATTTCTGAGAAGCTCCCTTTCCCAGCTTGACCTTGTACTGACTACCTGACAGCTAAAAGCCCAGTTTGAAAGCCCCTCCCTTCTCCAGGCCTGGGCTGAGTCTCTGACATGGCCTGAGAAGAAAGATAGACACAGGGGGAAGAGTGGGCCTGGCATGGAGAAAGAGCAAGCTGAAGTCTGCAGGGCTCAGAGTGAGCAGGTGTCTTCCTCTACCCACTGTGCCCAGTCCCCAGCCACCCCTGCAAGGGAGGAGATAGAAGCCACACCTTCAGTGAAGGGTTCCCACTGGTACAGCTGGCCCATGAATTCCTGGGAGTCAAAGGCAGCACACTGCAGGGCTCGGGGGTCTGGCTGCTCAGGGGGGCAGGGCTGAGGAAGATCCAGATACAAAGGAATCAGAGCTGGGGAGGAAACCTAGGGTATGGACCAGGATTGGACTCGGGGTGGAGGAGGGTCAGCTTCACGGAAAAATGCCAAGGCCGCTGTCCTGAGGTCAGATGCCAGGGCCCTTCTCCCTCAGGTCTAGGTCAAACAAACTGAGGACCCAGATGGGTAAGGAGGCATCAGTGAAAGGAAGTCTGGGTAAGAAGCCCAGGGAAGAACTCACTGCTTGGCTGCAGGCTCTCAGTTGTTCACTCTCCCCAGAACATTTTGGGGCAGGGCTACTGGGAGCAAAGAGACTCCAAGAGGGACTGGAGTCTCTCAGCAGAGGCAGCCAGCCATCTGGGGATCCGTGAGGACTGCCACGAGGTCTCCAGTGCCCTGGACTCTGCTGGCCTTGGCTCCGAGGGAAAGGATGAGGATGTCTCTCTGCTCTCTGGGGATTGGTCCAACCCTGGGATGTTGGTACTCGTGGTCGTGGTCGAGGTAATGCCTGGAAAGATCCACTCTCTCCAGAGGAAGGGGTGTGCAAAGGGGGCCCTGTACCAAAGCCCTGTGCTCTGAAGTGGGGCTGTGTGGGAGCAGGACTGGTTCCTAGGGGAACCTGCTTCTGAGTAGTTTCAGGCCTTAGGGATTCTGCTGGAGGAGAGTGAGGGTAGGTAGGCAGTTCTGGAAATTGAGTTTGAGGGCTGTGATTTGCAGAGGGCAGCTCTGGCCTTGAAGTCCGGGATGGAGGGGTCTCTTCCTCCTTGGAAGAGGTCTTGGGTTGCTCAGGTCTGCGGGGCCTCTGGGGGTGCCTGCGACTCCGATGCAGGGGCAAGGCAAAGGGCACTCTCCCATACCCGAACATCCCTGGCTTGATGGGGTCTCGAATCCGGGACCTGAGAAAATATTGCACACATGGAATCATCGCTGAGACTGTCTCCCCAGTCCCTTTCCTGAAAGATAGGCCTGCAAAGCTGGAGCAGCCATTGCTCCCTTTCCTCCACCAGCCCAGCTTGGCCCTCCTCTTCCCTCAGAGTCTCACCTCTGGGCCCCCTGAGTCTTCTGGGTCTCCTGTCTCCCCAGTTGAGAAGCAGGACCTCGAAGGGGGCCATCCCTTCCCCGAGGCTGCAGCCTGTAGAGGGGTTGAGGATCTCGGGAATTCTGGGGTCTGGGGTCCTGGCTGCGGGGACTTTGGGCTTCTGGGTGTCTTGGGGGTCGGGGAGGGAGTGGCAGGCCTGGGCCAGGTTCACAAGTCCGGCTTCTTCGTTGCACTCCCACCCCACAGGGCTGGGAACAGGAGGCCCACTGGCCCCATGGTCCCCAGAGACCCTCAGGGATCAGGCCCTCAAGGGGTGTCTGAAGAGAATATTCAGACAATACCTACATAGAAAGAGAAAGGTCAGACAGAATTAGAGTCATCTGAGGGGTTGACAGGTGGTCTATGAGTTCAAGTTTCAAGGATTGTGAGTTGCCCAAAGTTACATCCAGGTAGGACAAGACCGCTATCTTCTGTTATTTGGCAAGGAGTGAAGGAGTTGGCAGCAAGGCTGGGGTGGACCAAGCCTGGAGCAAGGGCTAAAGCCTAGCTATGGGAAAGGGGGAGCTAGGGGAGGCCAGGACACAATGGGACACCTGGCCAGGCTCACCTCCTGATCCAGGCAGAGTTGAGGGAGGTACAGAAACAGCATCACACACAGCCAGGGCCTGCACACCAAGGGGCACACATCAGAGGAAATCAGAGGTGTAATGACCATGCCCACTCCCACCCCAAGCTCTCTACATTCTAGCTGCCAACTTCTCAGAAAGCAGAAGTTCCTGATCACTTGTCAAGCCCCTCCCAAAAATCCCTTCCCTGTTCTTACTGTTAGAAACAGAGCTGTCCCTCTGCCCTGGCAGCCCTTGCTCTTACCTGCCTAGCCACATCTCCATTGCTCTTCCCTTGACTGCCTCTGGGCCAGGGAGCAGAGGACAGATGAAGCTACTGAGCCATCTGGGTGTGGAGGGCCTCGATTTGTGGGGACAGTGGCATGGTGGTTACCTCTCCAGACAGCCAGGACTGAAGGGCTGTCTCCTCAGAACAACTCCAACAGGGTGGAGGGCAGAGGGAAGACTGGTCCACCCCTTTAGGACCTAAGGGTGGGAGCAAGATGGAATGCTGCCTTTGTCATCTGCTGAGGCAAGGTTGAGGGTGGGGGTCTGACCTCAGCCTCCCAACTCAGCTCACTCCCCTCCCTGTGGTCCAAGAGGGACTTGGCTCCTCTGGAAACCTGAGGAGGGGCTGTTTGTAGGCAGTTCAGACAGGGCAGGTTCTTTCTCCCAGAGCTCTGGAAAGTAGAGGAGGGAGACTATCCCAGGCACCCCTGGGAGGGGCCAGCAAGAAGCCCCTGGGAACCAGGTATGGGGGCACATGCCTTAATCCCATACCTTGGGAGGTGGAAGCAGGAGGATCAGGAGTTCAAGGCCAGCCTAGATGTTATGAGGCCCTTGTCTCAAAAAAAAAAAAAAAAAAAAAAAAATCCCTCCTCTAAAATACCCCAAGATCTTTTTTAATACCTAGTTTGCTACCTGCCCCCCAGCCTTTTCTTTCCTTCTTAGCTAAGCTCCTTATGGAAGAAGTGGTCAGGCACATCTGGGCCGCCTTAGGCATCTTTTGTCCAAGGGATAAACTAAGTGGGCTAATGGCTTCATCTCTGGAGAAAAGGTGATGACTTAGCCTCCCGGTGGGTACTAGCATTCACAAAGCATTGGCTCAGTGGACACTTATTTCTTGTGTAGCTAGTTTTCATCTTTTAAATTTATTTTTCTTTCCAATACGCAGCCATAGTGGCTGGGGACCCTAGAAGGAAACATGCTCCCCAGTCACTGGCCTCTCACTCTGGAACTCCCAGGCAGTCCATTCTGAAGTCTAGCCTTGAACACTGGGGAGGTGGGGCTTGGAACCCTACCCTGGCCTCAAAGCCTGTCTCTCCCTGCGCCCCGTCCTCCATCCCCTTCGTTCTCTTTAAGGCCCTTCCCACCCACAGGCCTCATCCCATCTTAGTTCTGCTTTCCAGGAAAAACAGTTTCTGTTGGATCTAAATGGCACCAGGAGAGGGATCCAAGGAGCTTGCCGAAGTGGGCCAACTCAGGGCAGGAAAAGGACAGAGGGGAGGCAAGGCAGAGCTTAGCCCCACTCCCCCTCCCTAAGACCCCAGGACTTGGGAATCTGAGGAAGGATCAAAGTGGCTGAGCTGATGAAGGTCATCAGCATCTTGGAGTTTCAGAGGAGGTGACTAGTAGCCTGGCCTCTTCCACAACTGCTCTGATGGAAGAGGACCATGTGCCAACCCTTCAGTCTTCTACATGCCTGTCCCTTGAGGCTGGAGGGAGGTGATGCTCAGCTTGCCCCCTCTCTGATGCTGGTCCCCTCTCCTCCTCCATCTGTGTCTCTCTCTGATCCTCCAGGTCTGTTCCTACCATCTCTGTGGTCTACCCAGTACACATAATCCTGTCCTGAGCTAGCTTTGGCAGCTCCCTAGAGAAGTGAGGGGTGGAGATGAGGAGAGCTCCCAGGCCAGGGGCCAGGCTTGGCTCTCTCTCTGGAAAGTCCCACACACCCTCCCCTGTGTAGGGGGGGCAGGAGTGGACACCCCCTGTACAGAAACAGACACACATGTGCCTTTTGCCTCTTTTCATGGCTAGCATGAGGAAAACAGAGGTCCGAGGTAGCCACTGTGGAGCCAGGCTGGACCCAGGGTCAGGGCAAACCTAGTCTCCTCCTGGTTATACCTTCCCACACTGTCCAGTGACGTGCACGGAGCTAACCCCTTCACCCTCAGGGGCTCATCAGGAGTGGGGTCATTGCTGGGGGATAGCAGGGTCTGGACTGGTGGAAGAGAGTTTCTGTCCTGGCTCAAAATGTCTGGGTACCCAAGGCCCATCCCAACAACAGGTGTCTTTTCCTTCAGCCTCTTCCAACAGGCTGAGTTGGACCAAGGGCACTCACCTGCATCCCAGTCAGGAACCCTATTCTCCCTCGGTAGGAGGGAAGGGCGTCAGGGTAAGTCCTCAAAAAGCCCCTCAGAGAGGAGGAGCCAGGCGGCGCCGGCTTCAGGGTGGTGCGGGGTATGATTTCCAACTTTACTATGTGACTTAATAGGAATTTTGGCTCAATCCCCCTCCCGGGTGATGGGACCAGAGTTCCCGGGGACCAGACCCCCCTCCCCAGCTCCCCAGGAATTCGCCCCGGAGGCGGAGCTGGGCCTGGGTCTCCCGAGGGCCCTCCGGGTGGCTCTACCTGCTCTGCGCCTGGCGGTGTCCAGCAGCCCTGCTCGGCGGCGGCCACTCCGGCCCCAGAGCCCGCTCGGGACAGCGCCGCCCGCGGCATCGCTCCGCCCCCGCGCCGCCCCGCCGACGCCACGCCCGCCACGCGCCCGGGGAGGGGACTGGACCCCGTCGCCTCCCCGCGGGCCACCCTACCGGGGAGGCACCCCTCGGTCCCCGCGCCCAACCTTGCGACCCCAGCCCTGCCCTGAGTGAGCGGCAGGAGCGCTGCGCCTGCCGACTGGGCGACCTTTGGGTGGCGCCTGGACACGGAGGAGCTGGGCAAGCCGCCCACCCGAGCCGGGGACCAGTTCACAGGACCCAGCAGGCTTTCTCCTGCATGCAGCCCATCGCCCCTGCCTTTCCCATGCTGGGCAGTAAACCCTGTGGCATTGATGACTTGGGGACTTCTGTGAGGCTCTGTTTCTTCATCCATAAAATTTTACACCGTAGAGCTTAGCGGGAGGAATGCTCGCTGAATTAAGAGGCAGACAAATTGGGAGCTGAGTTTCACCTTGAGCACGTACCAGCCTTGTGGTCTTTCACCAGCACCTCAGTCTCAATGCTGTTGTGTCCCACATCTGGAAGAATGACATCTGAGGAGGGGTGCAGGATTGGAGAAGGGACGGAAAAAGCTTTTGCTTTTTATGCTTTTTATTCTAGTCATAGTCTGCTTATATGTTTGAACGTTTAAAATGTTTTACTTATTTGTTTTATGTGTGTGAGTGTTTTGCCTGCATGTATGTGGGTGTACCACCTGCATGCAGTAACCTCAGAGGCCAGAAGGGGGAAACAGATCCCCTGGAACTGGAATTATGGATCATTGTTAGACACCATGTGGATGCTGGGAACACAACCTCTGCAAGACCAGTCAGTGCTCTGAGTTGTTGAGCAATTTTTCCAGCCCCTGAATTTTTTTGAAACACGATCTTACTCTGTCCCAAACTCCCAGGCTCGGATTTATTGTCTGAACCTTTGTTTTTGTTGTTTTTGAGACAGGGTTCCTTGTCGTCCCAGCTGCCCTGAATCTTCCTATGTAGACCAGAAGGCCCGCAATCTAAGAGATCCACCAGCCTCTGCCTCTGGAGTGCTGGGACTAAGGACATGTTCCATCATGCCCAGCTTGCTTGAACTTTTTTAACTTCAAGCACTCTATCAATGTATTGATTAGTGCTTGTTTGTGGCAAGCTCTCTCTTCTAGTCTTGGCTGGACTAGTCTATTGCTTAGGTAGCCAAGGATGACCTTGAATTCTGATCCTCTTACCTCATGTTTGTCATCAAGTCCACCCAGTCTAAATGATAATGACTTTTAAATTTTTTTCTTTGCCATTTACTCATAAGTCAACTTTTATTGGTTCTAGTCAATATTTGTTTTTTCTGTAATGGGACTTGAACCTAGGGCTTCAAACATGCTAGGTAAGCACTCTACCCGTCCTCAAGCCTCTTTTTTTTTCCTCATTAAAAAAAATATTTTAAGCCGGTCGTGGTGGCGCATGCCTTTAATCCCAGCACTCGGGAGGCAGAGGTGGGTGGATCTCTGTGAGTTCAAAGCCAGCCTGGTCTACATACTGAGTTCCAGGACAGCTGGGGCTACAGGGAGACCCTCGCTGAATTAAGAGGCAGACAAATTGGGAGCTGAGTTTCACCTTGAGCACGTACCAGCCTTGTGGTCTTTCACCAGCACCTCAGTCTCAATGCTGTTGTGTCCCACATCTGGAAGAATGACATCTGAGGAGGGGTGCAGGATTGGAGAAGGGACGGAAAAAGCTTTTGCTTTTTATGCTTTTTATTCTAGTCATAGTCTGCTTATATGTTTGAACGTTTAAAATGTTTTACTTATTTGTTTTATGTGTGTGAGTGTTTTGCCTGCATGTATGTGGGTGTACCACCTGCATGCAGTAACCTCAGAGGCCAGAAGGGGGAAACAGATCCCCTGGAACTGGAATTATGGATCATTGTTAGACACCATGTGGATGCTGGGAACACAACCTCTGCAAGACCAGTCAGTGCTCTGAGTTGTTGAGCAATTTTTCCAGCCCCTGAATTTTTTTGAAACACGATCTTACTCTGTCCCAAACTCCCAGGCTCGGATTTATTGTCTGAACCTTTGTTTTTGTTGTTTTTGAGACAGGGTTCCTTGTCGTCCCAGCTGCCCTGAATCTTCCTATGTAGACCAGAAGGCCCGCAATCTAAGAGATCCACCAGCCTCTGCCTCTGGAGTGCTGGGACTAAGGACATGTTCCATCATGCCCAGCTTGCTTGAACTTTTTTAACTTCAAGCACTCTATCAATGTATTGATTAGTGCTTGTTTGTGGCAAGCTCTCTCTTCTAGTCTTGGCTGGACTAGTCTATTGCTTAGGTAGCCAAGGATGACCTTGAATTCTGATCCTCTTACCTCATGTTTGTCATCAAGTCCACCCAGTCTAAATGATAATGACTTTTAAATTTTTTTCTTTGCCATTTACTCATAAGTCAACTTTTATTGGTTCTAGTCAATATTTGTTTTTTCTGTAATGGGACTTGAACCTAGGGCTTCAAACATGCTAGGTAAGCACTCTACCCGTCCTCAAGCCTCTTTTTTTTTCCTCATTAAAAAAAATATTTTAAGCCGGTCGTGGTGGCGCATGCCTTTAATCCCAGCACTCGGGAGGCAGAGGTGGGTGGATCTCTGTGAGTTCAAAGCCAGCCTGGTCTACATACTGAGTTCCAGGACAGCTCGGGCTACAGGGAGACCCTGTCTCAAAAAGACCAAAAAAAATATTTTATCATTTTTTTATTTTATGTGTATGAGTATACACTCATGCTTGCATGAATGTAAGTGCACCTGTGTCGTGCAATGCCCAAGGAGGTCAGAAGAGGGCATCCGATTCCCCTGGAACTGGAGTTACAGAAAGCTGTCAGCCTCCATGTCGGTGCTGGGAATCAAACCCGGGTCCTCTGCAAGAGCAACCAGTGCTCTTAACTGATGAGCCATCTCTCTCCAGCCCCTGGATCTGTCAATGTTTTTAAAATGTCTTTATTGGTGACACAGGGTCTTCCTTGGCTGGCCTGGCACTTGCTGTATAGCCTAGGCTGCCCTTAAACTCTTGATAATCCCCCAACTTGGCCTCCCCAGTACTGGGCTAATAGACTTGCACTACCACACTTAGCCTCATATATTTTTTGAAAACCAAAACATAAAGGGCAACATAGGGTATGGTAGTTCATGTCAATAATCCCAGCACTGGGGAAGCTAAGGCAGGAGGATCACTGCAAACTCAAGACAAGCCTGGGATACAGGCTTGTCAAGAATGGTATTGCTTATTTGTTGCTTGCTATTGTAACTCAGGCTGACTTAGAACTTGCTATGTAGCCCAAGCTGGTTTTGAAGAAGGGTTCTCCTGCTTCAGCCTCCCAAGTGATAAGACTACAGGCATGTGCCATTATACCAGGTTCTTTTTATTTATTTTTAATTTTATTTCTTTATTTTGTTTTATTGTATGAGTGTTTTGCCTGCATATATGTAAGTGCACTATGTATATGTAATGCCTGCAGAGGCCAGAAGAGGGAGTCAGATACCCTGGAACTGGAGTTACTAATGCTTTGATAGCCACCAAGTGGGTTTGGAGGACCTAACCTGGGTCCTCTGCAAAAGTAATCAGTGCTCTTTTTTTGAGATAGTCTTGCCATGTAGCTAATTACAAACTCAACTTCTTTTTCATCAGCCACTGGAGTGCTGGGGTTACAGTGCTGAGTTACAGCCAGAACTTTAAACATATTTGACATTTAACATACATATTTTGTTTTCTCAGCAAATCCCCATGTTCTTTCAGGACAAGGGCTACTTATAGTACTTTATAAATTTGTATTTATTTTGTATTCATGTTTTGTAGGATTACAAGAAATATTTGAGTTGGTGAGATGTACCACTTAGGAGGCTGAAGCAGGCAGGAGGACTGTGAGTTCAAGGGCAGTCTGGACTACATAGTAAGAGTCTGTTTCAAAAAAAGGGGAAGGAAGCTGGGTGTGTTGGTGCACACCTTTAGTCCCAGCACTTGGGAGGCAGAGGCAGTAGATCTCTGTGAGTTCAAGGCCACCCGGGTCTACATAGTGAGTTCCAAGCCAGCCCCACTACAGGGAGACCCTGTCTCAAAAGACCCCCCAAAAAGGGGGGTGGGAGAAAAAAGTATTGGGTATTGGGGGAAGAGAAAGAAACAGAAATAATAATATTTGAATAGGGGCTCTGGAGGAATGGCTTAGTGGTTGAGAGCACTGGCTGCTCTTGCAGAGGACCCAGATTCAGTTCCCAACACCCACACAGTGGCTCACAACTGTTATAACTCCAGTTTCAAGGGGTAAGACACCCTCTTCTGGCCCCCATGGGCACCAGGCATGCATGTGGTGAACTTACATACATGCAGGCAAAACATTCATACTACATTTAAGAAAAAAAGAGCACATACTGCTCTTGGAGAAGACCCAAGTTCAGTCCCCAGCACCCACGTCAGGTGCCTCACAATCACCAGTAACTCCAGTTCCAAGGGATCCAATACCCCCTTCTGGACTCTGAGGGCACCTGTACATACCCAGAGACCCAAACACAGACACATATAATTTAAAAGTAGCCTGGCACAATGGCACACCCTTTATTTTCTTATTTTATTTTTTAATTTTTTTTTTTTTTTTGTCTTTTTGAAGCAGGATCTCCCTGTAGCCCCAGCTGTCCTGGAACTCACTATGTAGACCAGGCTGGCCTTGAACTCACAGAGCTCTGCCTGCCTCTGCCTCCCAAGTGCTGGGACTACAGGCATGAGCCACCACGCCAGGCTACAAGGGTTTGTTTTTTGTTGTTTTTTTTTTTGAGACAGAATCTCACTGTGTAGCCCAGACTGGCCTCAAACTCATAGAGATATGCCTGCCTCTATCTCCCAGTGCTTATTTTTATTATTACCTTTTGAAGCTTTGGGACAGTTTTATTAGAATTTAAGGAAAAATGCTCAGGGCAGGCCAGCTATAAAAGTCAGCAGCTGCCTTGAGGAGGGAAATGGAGGCTGGGGTGGGGGGTGGACCATAAAGTCATGCCTGTTTAGA